ATCCATGGTCATCTTTTTTAGTGATACATTTATTTACCCCTTTTGCCTTGGCGATAGTCTTATTCTCTAAGATAAAAGCGTACATTTTGGATCGTAAACCCACAAATTCTTTCATAATTTTACCATTATTTTCATCTTTAAAAAAACCTAATTTCTTTTTATTTAATTTTGGATATTCAAAAATATTATTTGTATCATAAGCTGAGGTATCAAAGTATGATGAAAGGTCAGGTTTTATATCAGAGTAAAAATCATCTGTAAATATATGATATATTAAACTATCCGTATCTGTATACAATAATTTGATTTTACTAAACTTTTTAACCATATAGTTATAATGAAAATCATACATTAATGTTTTTGAAATATCTAAAATGCAAAAACCTAAATAAATTGGTTTGTTATATATTAACTTTGTTTTTCGCAACTGAACCGCAACTAGGTTTTCCGAAAATACTGAAAGACTATGAAATTGTGGTTTAGCGATTAGATCTTGAGCACCTAAAGCTTTGCCCTGGTTCTCCCAGTGTGTAACTAATTTTATGTTAACCCTTTTTTCAATATTCTCCATAGTCTTACCGAAGACTGAATTATACATTAATTTATAAAAATCTTTTTTCGAAATCTGATTTTGCTAACGTTCTTAATTTTGTGTTTAGATCTATGTACATCTTCAACCAGCGAGACTGTTTAAATTTTAAAACTCTATGAATTTTAGTTAATTTAACCCCCATTTCTATGCACTGCTTTAAATTTCTGTAATGAATTACATATTTATCTTTATTATTTAAATTTGGGACTAGTTTATTTTCATTAATATTGCCTGCACAAATGTTTTCGGGGCATAAAGGAAAGTCCGAATGTAAATCATGAAGTTCCTCTGGATATTCCAAATCAACTTCTAAAATAAAACGATTCGATGTCTCAGACACATTAAATTCTGTATTCGGATTTACCCATTTGAATCCACCAGTAGGAAGACATTGAGACATAGCCCAACCATATAAATTGTTGGCATCAAAATATGTGATATATGAATTTGGTTTCCCTGCATCATAATCCCCCATATATTTGTTATTACCTCTAGCATAACGATTACTACATTGAGACACACCACCCCTGATACCTGATCTAATAAATGCAATTTTCTCATAATCTGTTAAAAGTTCTAATTCTATTTTTGTATATTTTAACATTGCATCCCAACTTAAACCGGGTGCTAATGTGTAATGTGTAATAATGGGCAGGGTCTAAATCATAAGTATTAATACATAACATTCTAAAGTTTTCAAATACATCGGTTAAAAGTAAAACGTCTGTTTTTAAATACAGGTTTGAATAATCTAGCATATTACAACACCCAAAGTGTTCCCAATCATCTTTAGCATGATTGTAATCATCATTTGAAGTATGGGAATCTGTGAGCGAGCTATAAAAAAATTTTTGTTCGGGGAGCGATGTTAGGCTTAAACTATCATAATTCATATGGATAAACGCCTTTCCGTTATAAACGAAAGAAATCTTCATCATTAGGATAATTTCTCCGTAATTCTTGAAATTGATCATTACTGAGATTTTTGGCCAATTCTTCTAATTTACATGATAAAAACTTAAATGAATCTATGAATCTTAATATAATTTCGTGGTTATTCATTTTTAATTTTTTGGAAAAGGATATATATTTTTCTTTATTTTGAGGGATAACTTCGACTTCACCATCACAAAAGTTTAACGCGTGAACAATAAAATGAGCATCATAGTGACTAAGGTTGTGTAAAAATATTGATATATAACGAGGTTTTCTGAACTTCGAGCTACATGATTCGTGAGCAACACCTATAAAACTACCGGTGTACCAATCAAAATCATAAAAATGTTCTGCTAACTCTGTTTCACAAATATGACAAATGGTTGCATTTGAAATTTGGTTTTTGTCTTCATTTGTTAGCGGAAGTGGAGGATATTTTTGAAGTCTATTTATTTCTTTGAGATTGTTAGATAAACTTTCCATAAACATCTTGTGCACAGTTGGGTCCGCAATATGTTATATATTTTGATAATTTATCATCATATGAACATTTTATATAATAACCAAAACTATGTACTTCATGTTTCTGTATATTGTGTGTGAAAGGTTTGGAAGGATCGTTAGAACATGATTCTATTGGTTTTAAAAATGCTTCAAAATCAGCATAAATTACGAATGGTATCTTTAACTTTTTTTCATAACTATCAAATTTAATTTTATCATTTGAAATAGGTTGACCAAACCAATTCTTTTTTTTTTAAAGTTTCATTGTTTGGTAATTCTGTACAAATGTGGGCACAATCGTATTGTTCATGGTTATTTAAACTTTCCTGAGATGGAAAGTGAAGTAGACATGCTTCGCAAATGTACATGATGTGACCGTCTTTTGAAATTTGTTTACTAACTAACCGCGATAAATTGTCCGGAACCGTGCATCCTACGCAAAAATGGACCTTGCCAAAACCTTTTTGTACAACGTAACTACTAGTGCGCCAGAACTGGTACAACGTAACTACTAGTGCGCCAGAACTGGTACAACGTAATAACTACTAGTGCGCCAGAACTGGGGTACAACGTAACTACTAGTGCGCCAGAACTGGTACAACGTAACTACTAGTGCGCCAGAACTGGTACAACGTAACTACTAACCACGCTCTCACAGAATACCTGAGTAAAATAGCTGCTAGACGCTGCTGTGTTTCGTATGGTGAGTGTAGAAAACCGGAGACCCCTTTTTCTGTAAACCAGGCATTTCTTCTTAATTATCAGGGGGGGGGGGGTTGCAACGCATCCGAATTTTGATTCTTAATCGAGGATGGATGTGGATATCTGTCTGGGCCACAGCATCCACTTACCATCAGTTGGACTATGTGGTCGTCTGTCACTTTAAGATATTTGCAAAACGGAGGGCGCTATGCGTTTCGCTTGTTTGGTGCAGGTGGCCGGAGGCCCAAACCACATCCCCACCCACACCCCCATAATGTGGTAGCGGAATTTAAAAATGTTATGTACAACACACACGGTCAGTTCAACTGATCATTCCAATTGATCAGTTCAAACTAGGACTGTTGATGTTTTTTAAAATATCGGATTTTCGATATATCAATGAATAAACCTATATATAAAACTCAGATGTTGATATATTTATATTTATCGATATATCGAAAATCCAATATTTTAAAAAATATCAACAGTCCTAGTTTGAATTGATCAGTTGGAATGATCAGTTGAACTGACCGTGTGTGGCGACAATAAGACTAACCCAAGTGTAGAACGAAAATTATTTCGTAATTTATTCCTCTTCATAAATAAAGACGGAATGACTTAACCAAAATAAAGATGTAAGTAATATTGTTAGTGAATACTAATACATTATTTCATATGTATTTATACTTCTTTGATAGCTAGGCTGTCTGTTTACAATGCTTTAACCTAAATTGGCTGTAAAATTTTATTGATACGAGTGCTGCCTACTAATTTTATTACGAGAACTAAATTTATGAGGTTATTGGTTGTTTACAATCTCTGGTACTATTAAATATTCTGTATTTATAAGAAAATACATCAGATGTTTCATGAAATCCCTAAACAAAAATAATGCGATATATATTAAAATAAAAAAAAAACACGCACAAGCACACTCGAACCCGTTTATTATGCGTTTTTGAGATTTTATATATTTTTTTTCCTGTATACATCAAATTGCCGTCGATGTAGCTCGAAAAACCGACAACCGATGAAGAAAAAAGGTTCTCGAGTGACAGCCTCGTACAGTTAGGCGAAGTGTAAGGCGAACCCCCCGCCCCACCCTGCACTAGATGGAGTGACGACCTGGTAAGACATGCAGAAAGTCGACGGATGCAGGTGACTCAGGACCGTGCTTTGTGGCATTCCTTGGGGGAGGCCTGTGTTCGGCAGTGGACTTGTGAAGGGCTGTAATTATAATAATAATTTAAATTTACTTTGTATTCCTAATGTAAAGGGGCGTAAAGGACTCTCCCCTTTAGATCCTAAATACAGATTACTAAGTAACCTAGCTAAGAGATTCCTAATTCCACCCATTTCTTATTGTTGATGGTCCACATGATTTATTATATATCTTTGTAGTCTGCCTCGTTGGTCTAGTGGTTGTAATAGTTCGACTGCTGATCATGGAGTCCCGAGTTTGAATCCCCGGTTGGACAAAAAATCAGTTTATGTATTGAGTTTCTCCGTCGAGAAATTCTCAGTAGCTGCCCGGAGTCAGGAAGTTGGCGGTGTCTCACCCCGTGCCTCAGAAAGCACGTGAAGCCGTTGGTCCTGCGCCTGGTCTCTCTCCGGTTGTGTCGGTTTGACGTCCCATTGGACTATGAGAGTAAGGAAATAGAGAGTACACCTGTGCTTGCGCATGTACTTGGGCACTAAATGCTTTCCGGCGTCGTTGGCTAGTCTCCGTTGAGGCTGGTCGCCGTAACCGAAATTCGATCTGGAGGACATTATTAAATCTTTGTAACAAGTAGGTAAACTATACCATAGAATAAATAATAGTACGATAAACTATAAAAATGTCAATGAAGAATTATTACATAAAAGAACGATAACAAATGTATTAATATGAATAATTATTATATATGTTCAGTGTACGGGTACTAACGCTTCGTGATGTATAATAATAAAATAAAATGAAGTAAAATATGCAGTTTATTTTTTTTTACAGCATATCACAAATGTATTTACATATTATATATCATATTTGATCCCGTAGGTCACTCTATGTAAAACAATTGAAATAATTTTAGGTTATTTTATTTGTAATTTTTTCAAATCATTTCCATGTTCCGTAAAAGACACAGTAGGAAAATGAACTATTATTATTGAGGTCACTTGTCTTGATTACAGGAACTTTGGAAAGCAACTTTCTCTAAATGAGGTTATTGAGGAATTGGTGCAAAATGATGATGATGACATCCCAGAAACTATTACAGTAACAGTAATGCCACCGGAAAATTGTAATGCTGAGGTAACGGATGAAGACTCTGGAGATGAAGACTTGGTGTCACTTCAAAACTTGCCAGGATCTCAACTAAGGGCTGCTGCTGAGGTCCAGTATGGCAACAACTGTGATGATGATCTATCATTAGCCGAAGTAAACAAAAGACGACGTCTAAATTTTGAAAATGAATGTGCTTCCACATCCCAAACCTCGCTTCTTCAAGGACAAATAGATGATCCGGTTTCACCTGCTGTACCAGTACCTTCTACTTCAACAAATGCTCCAACTATGATCAACTTCAAAAATACTAAATATACTTGGAGTTCAAGAGATATTCAGCCTACGCATAGTGATTGGCATAACCCACAGCATCCTGACCAGTATGGTGATAAAAATCCCATTGATTACTTTGATTGCATTTTTGACGACGTGGTTTGGAATATTCTTGTGGAATTTACTAACTTATATGCTACAAAGAAGAATAAAGAAGGTAACGTGACAGCAAGGAAGATGAAATGTTTTGGGAATACTGTTGTATAGTGGATACGTGGTTGTTCCTAGACGAAGTATGTACTGGGAAAATGCTCCAGACTGCAGTGTACCATTTGTCTCATCAGCTATGGCAAGGGATAGGTTTAATTTTATAGTATCCCATTTACATTGTTGCAACAACTCGCAACTCAATGAGAGAGACAAATTTGCGAAGTTAAAACCTCTCTTTGATGTGCTAAACTCGAATTTTTTGAAGCATGCTCCTTTACAATAGTGTTGTTACAGTAGTCTGAAAGCTACAGGCACCGTAAGAGAGAATAGAGTGTCAAAATGCCCATTGCCCACTAACAATGAACTCAAAAAAACTAACCGTGGGACGTACAAATACAAATCTACAAGAGCTGAAGAAATTGTCGTCTGTAAGTGAAATGATAATAGTGTAGTTACCGTGGCTTCCAATGCTATAAAAGTATTACCCGTCAACAAAGTCAAAAGATTTTCTCAGCAACGAAAAAAATATGTGCAAGTGGATCAACCTGCAGTGTGAAGGCATATAACGAAAATATGGGAGGTGTTGATCGTTCTGATCAAAATATTAGTCTTTACAGGACAAGTATTCTTTACTTACTTACTTACTTACTTATCTTCACGCACAATACCTAACGGGGTAGCTAGAGAGAACAGATCGCCAAGTGTCACGATCCTTACATACCTCTTTCGCTTCTTTCAAGTTCATTAACTTCTTCATACATGCACGTTTAGGTATCCGAGTACTCTTGACCTTCCCCTCTTCGAGCAATTTGCTCACATAGTCTTCGAAAGTTAGTCTCGGTCTACCTCGACACCTTTTAATATTCACTTTCGCTCTATATATTTTCTTCACCATTCGGTCTTCACTCATTCGCTCAACGTGCCCAAACCATTGGAGTACGCCCCTATCAATTTTTGTGATAAGGTCATCTTTCAATCCATATTGCGAATCTCTTCGTTTTGCTTTCGATCGGCTACGGTAACGCCACACATTTTACGAAGAGATCGCATCTCCACTGCATTCAACTTGCTTTTATGCTTCTTCTGGCATACCCAGGTTTCGCTGCCATATAACAAAGTCGGTACCAACACTGCGTTATGTAGTGCAAGGCGTGCACTCTTCACCACGCCTTGCCTTTTGACTAATGCATTCAGGGCACCATTGACTTTGTTTCCGGCAGCGACACGCCTATCCACATCTAAATCACATCTTCCATTCCGGCTGAAAGCACTCCCCAAGTATACAATTTCATTTACCTGTTCTAGACATTCCTGATTTACCCATATTTCACATTTCGTTCTCTCTTTGTCCTTTTCAAATACCAGAACCTTAGTTTTATTAGCATTCAAACGGAGACCTTTAATTTCACATTCCTCTTTCATACACGTGACTAATGCCTGCAGTTCTGCTTCTGATGGTGCAATAAGCACTGCATCATCAGCATACAGCAGACAATTAACTTTTATGTCACCCAATTTCACACCCAAACAGCTATTTTTCAGCTTCTGTAAACAGCTGTCGAGATACAGTATGAACAGCCAGGAAGACATGATACAACCCTGTTTTACGCCCGCTTGGACGCTTAACATGGGTGACAGGTCGTGCCCTACCCGCACACAGGCTTTACAGCCATAGTAAAGTGAATGCACAGCCCTTAACAATCGACCATCCACACCATATCCCAGCAACAGTTCCCACATTTTCTTCCTTATAACCTTATCAAATGCTTTCTCCAGATCCACAAAAGCACAGAAAATCCTCTGGTTAACACTCAGAAGCTTTTCTGTGATCATGCGGAGAGAAAACATTTGATCCGTGCATCCTCTTCCAGGTCTAAATCCGCATTGTGCCTCCCATAAGAATCTTTCCGATTTCTCTTGCATCCTACGTGTCAAAACCTTCGAGTAAACTTTACTTGCTAAACTGGTCAAGCTGATCGCCCGATAGCACCCGCAGTCAAAATGTGAACCTTTACCTTTATATAAAGGCACAATGACCGCGGATCGCCAATCATCCGGTACATCTCCTGTCCGCCAGTACAAATTGCACAGCAGACGAAAGCTGTCCCAGACGCGAGGCCCACCGTACTTGACCATTTCAGCAATAACTCTGTCTAGTCCCGCACCCTTACCACATTTCAAACTTCGAATCGCACGTTCAATCTCTTTCATGCTGATGACTTCAGTGTCATCGAGGTCCGTGTCTGGCGTGCCAGTCATGGCGTCACTCCCGGATCCTTCACTAAGATCATGACACGCATACATTTCTCTATAAAATTCACTCCATCGCTGCATGACGTCCGATTTTTCTGAGAGAACGTTATTGGTTCTCGAAAGCACTTTATTCATTCTTAAGGCTGTTGCACCACTCCGGGACCTTCCAACCTCTTGACAAGTATTCGTCGTAAGAAATGGTCTTTCCCACTTATCACTCAATGCCTTGATATGGCTACACATGATGCTTGGCAATTATACAAGGAAAATGGAGGAGTTTGGGATCATCTGAAATTTCGCATAAATATTGCTGTAAATCTCATTGAAAACAATAAGAAGATTGACGGTCACAAAGGTGGACGGCCATCACAATCTTTATCTGGGGTGTTGCAGTACAACCACCATGGCCATTTAGTAAGGTATAGAGAAGACTGTTTGAGATGCGTCTTCTGTCACAAAAGTGCAAACTTTTGTTGTGTCAAATGCAATGCTACACTACACCCAGAAACATACTTTGAAGCTACACCCTAGTTATTTTTTTATAGTTATTTTGTTCATTTTTAAGTTAAATTGTTATATAAAAATAATTATAATAAAGTAATATTATATAAATGAAACTGTGGGATATCATTATTATAAATTTTTGCCTTTGCAAAATAACTCCCTTTTCTAATGATTGGTAGTAGTAGATTCTCCTACTGTGTCATTTACGACACACCATTTTCCGGCTTTCCCGGGATAGTGAGATTTTTTAAACATTTTTTTTTTGAGATTAGTTGTAGCCTAATTGCATATCATACGAAATTTTATTTCATAGCAAAAAAAAGTTTGCTCAGGAGTAAGTGGGTTAAGATTGCCGCCGCATCGGAGAAGTTAGAATCACGCTACTAAATTAACTGGTAAAACTAGTGCCCGTGCGCTTCTGCGGTCGTAAACTGAGGAGAACGCGTTTCATGGCGGAGTCAATGGATTTGTACGTGGTAGAGTAACGCTGCAACTATGTTATGGTTGTAACACGAATGGTTCGGCTCGACCGGGGTAGCACCACGCTCTTACAGAATACCAACTTAATGCTACACAGCTAATAAGGTAATAAGTGACATTCAGTAGAGACTACATGCACACAGAATATTAAGAAAAATACCAGCGAAATTCTACCTCACGTACGGTGAGTGAAGAAAATCAGTAGAAAGGTACTGGAAACGAGGTATAACATCTCAGTACAAGGGGTGTATGTATGTTAAGACTCGTTTCCTGCCGAGGTGTGCATCAAGGTAGGTTCCAAACTCTTACCAATTTCTACCGCTATGCATCAATGCCTACACTGCTTTGTTCCGGTCTGAAGAATAGTCAGTATAATTACAGGCTCTAAAGCATTCCACCTAATGCCACATTTACACTCAGCCACTGTCACTGCTCCTGTCGCTGCCGGAAATATTTCCCTAAATACTTCTGCGGCAATAACGACGCGAGTGGGTGTTCACACGCGGCCTTCATACTTCTTTATTGATAAACTCGCAACAATGACTGACGTCGCGGTTGTTGGTCGGACAGCATTATGTCTGCTCAGTAAAAGTAACTATTTAAGTGTATTAAAAGGAAATAAAAGACGCCGTCGACAAAGAAAGTGGTGGATGAGGGTGTAGTGTAGTGATGCCAATGTATACTATACTACAAGGGAAATTCATAGCAATAGAAGGATGTAAGTACTGCTAAAAATTATTTATGTGCATAAAGCGCGAGCACGAGTAGCCGTAGCGAGTATTTACATACTTCCCTGCTCACTTCCCTGCTCGCTTCCCTGCCCAACAAGACTGAGTGTAAATGTAAATGTGGCTAAAGTCCGCAGTGGTGACAATGCATCGGTAGTCTTTGTTTGAAGTTGACTGCAGATGTCGGCTGATGATCTTCAGTAGTAACTTACCATCAGGTGGACTGTAAGTTTATTTGTAATTTTAGTTTCTAAAAAAAAGATACCTATATTCATCGATCACTAATAAAAAACTTTTCTATTAGTGATCGATGCCTACATTAACTAAATTCTTTTAAAAAAAGATACACAGTATCTCGACTTGCACTCAGACTGAATACTCGTTTGTTACTTCTGTAAATGGTAAGGCACATGAAAAATTGCACGATTTTTCTCACTCAAAAACAATAAAAAGATTTTTGTGAAAATGTTGAACGAAATAAATTAGTAGAAGCTTTCATTTTATTGTAGCTTACTTTAAATATACCATCCTTTTTCGGTCACAGCGACTGCTGTTCATAAGGAGCTGGCCCCTATTCCGGTAATTAATTATCTTTGTACGATAAAGTACAAATAGCATAACATTATGCATCTTCGTACCCTTTTTTCATTCCTTAGTCATTATTATTACTCCAATGAATGTTTTATCACATTAACAATAAACGTAAAATCTCAAGATATCATTAAATGTTTGTTTTTTACGTGATTGAGCCATGCTGTAGTCGGATGGGTCAGCTGGACAGGAGTAGGACCACGCTCTTACAGAACACCAGTGTAAAATAGCAGCTCAGTATGGTGAGTGTAGTAAACCGAAGACACTTGACATGAAAACAAGGTATATCATATTAGTCCTCAAGGGTGAAGACGCATCTACATTTTGATTCTTAATCGATAATAGATGAAGATGTCTATGGGCCATAATATCTACTTACCATCAGGTGGAATGTGTGCTTGCTTGTCACTCTTATTCTTAAAAAAAAAGGTATACGTCTTCTAGCCGCTAGAAATGTATAAACAACAATTTTGTTCGTTTCCTAGGACTAGTGAGACTTAATTGTGTAACCCTGGTAGGAAGTGTAGTTGACTTTGGTTTGACGCTTAAACCAGTCAGACATTATAATATAATGTCCTACGGTCAAGTTATCTACCCGTGCAGTCTGTGGTCGAAATACTAACAGTGAGCTGTTGACGTCTTACGCGTCCAGTACAATAACGGCTTCAGGGTCTTGTTGGGGGTACCCCGATTTTGTAGTGCATCAGGCATGTTTGAAAAGACGCATATGTATGACTACTATACCATTATAAGAAAGATAATAGCCTCGTTGCTCGGCAGGGTGCGGGCTAGCTCCAACTCTATCATGAAAATAATTGCTGATAGATAAGATCCATTTATTTTTAAGCTTAGCTGTTTAGTTGATAAGGCATTGTATTTAAGAATTAGATTTAGGTACTTACATAAATTATAAGTTTCATATGTATTAACATATTTTATGGATTACTTGGATTTCTGAAATAAAAATGTATTATTATTATTATTATAAGAAATTTTCTGTCAGAACAATTCTAACGCTCCGCATCTCTCGCAATTTGTGTATACATTTTGTACTAGATCCCGCCTAATGTAAGGATTTTGCCAGACCAACCGTCCGTTTCATACTCTCGCGAGATGCATGCAAACCGGACGTCTGAAATTTATCTCTTCAGATGATAAGTACCTGTTATAGGAAGGAAGTTGTTATAACAATGAAAAACTACAACGCAGCTACGAAATTCTTCTCACCGGAAAACGATTCACAAAGTTACAAATTAGAAGAAGGACACTGTAGTTTTGACGATACTTGGTTCAATCTGATACGAATATTTACATGAATTTTATAATATTGTTACTGTCTATCAAAAGTCCACTAGTAAACATAGGCCTACCACATAGATTTCCTCATAGATATGATTGCTATAGTTGCCACGCTTGATTTTTTATTTTTTAGCTGTCATTAGGAAGATGATTCGTGGTAAAGTCACGCTGCAGCTATATCATAGTTGTAGCACGAATAGGTCGGCTCGACCGAGACAGGACCACGCTCTCACACGATACCAGCGTAAAAATGCAGCGTAATGCTGCTGTGTTTCGTATGTTGAGTGTGATAACAAGATACCCTTTTTACTGGAATCGAGGCATTCTATCTTAGTCCACAAGGGTGACGACGCATTTGCATTTTGATCCTTAGTTGAGGATAAATGTGGATGTAATATGGGCCACAGCATCCACTTACCATAAGATGGACTGCGTGATCGTTCCTTACCATTATTCTTTAAAAAATATGCATATATAACGACACCACAACACAATAGAAAAATCTTGGTCTGTGTTGTTATACAAAGTTAAAGAACTTTACGTTTAATGTACTTAGAGAAATGCTAAAAAACTTGTACAACATAAAGTAGATAAATTTTCGTAAGGCTTTTTTTGACAGTTGACTTAGTCGAAGTTGAAAACACCGTATTGTCTATTTCTGCTGTCGAGCAAAGTACCACTCACTTTATTTCTTCTGTATAATATCAAACTGACCGACTGTAGTGCGACTGCTGATCATGAGGTCTGGATTGGTCCTTTTGAGTATATTGTGCGGAGTATCGGTGCTACCCCGTGCCTCGGAAAGCACGTAAAGCCGTTGGTCCTGCGCCTGATCTCGGTTTACCGTCCTATCGGATTATGAGAGTGAGGCAATAGAGAGTGCACCTACGCTTGGGCACTATAATCCTATCCTGCGCCGATGGCTAGTCTCCGTTGAGGCTAGCCACCGTGACCGAAATTCGGTCTGGGGGACATTATTATTATTTTTGGTATTAGTAGTGTACTCTCATCTGGTTGAGCTGAATAAATATATAAAAGGAAATGATAAATATACATTAATATAATTTTCATATACCAGGACAAATAAATAAGTAATACATAAATAAATAAAAGCCCAACCAGATGGAGGAGATCAAACGGCCGAGGGTTAGGGGGAAAGCGAGAGAAACCAGCGGACCACTGCCTTCTGCATTTGAGCCCGGAGCGGTCCGTCACGGAGTCCCAGCCTCCTCAGATGACTCGAGAGGCTGACTGGGATTAGCCCGTTTTCAGAAACGACTACAGGAATAATTTCAGTCGGAAGACCACCCTATACCAGCATACCAGCCTCATCGATACCGATGTTCTTTGACACACCCAGGTATCGGTATGTTTCAGCCTCGGAAAGGGTCCTTAAGCTGACGGGCATAGATAAGTCTATGCCCTCAGAGTTAGCAACCCTCCGCCTTTCAACATGGAGGACCGCACATTTATCAGTCCCAGCTCCATTCCAATAGAATTGCTAAATTCACGAGTGATGTTTAGCAATTCCATAAGATGGGAGCGACTGGAGGCGAATAACTTGAGGTCATCCATATAAAAAGGTGGGTCACTTTTGTACCTCCTTTCCGAAGCTGAAAACCCCTCCCGGAGCCCTCCAGTAAGGTACTGAGAGGGTTCAGAGAGAGGCAGAACCAGATTGGACACAGACAATCGCCCTGGAAGATACCCCTTCTTATCCTTTTGTGGCTTTCCGCAGCCATCATCCGCTCGCCCAGATAACAAAGGATGGTATTACTCCACTGCCCCATACACTGCTCGAGGAAGTCTCTAACTGTACAGTCTATCTTGTACAGCTTGAGGACTCTCTTTAGCCATGTATGGGGCATCGAGTCGAATGCCTTTCTGTATTCTATCCAGGCGGCGGAGAAGTTCCGATGGTTGCGTTTCACCACTTTGCCAATGACCGCGTCAATGAGGAGTGGTTCCTTGGTTCCACGACCACCGCCCCGACATCCATTTTGAGCGCGCGACATCACCTGATTTGAGTCCAGGTGACGAGTGATAGTCGCGCTCAAAATGGATGTTAGTGTCGTGTATATGGTCGGTAGACACGTGATAGGGCGGTATTTGCTCGGGTCTGTGGTACCCGGGTCTTTAGGAAACAAATGGGTGATCCCAGTAGTGAAGAGGCTCGGGAGCGATTTCTGGTTGAGAGCCTCTTGAAACTGTCGGGCGAGCACAGCATGACACACCATGAACCCCTTCAGCCAGTAGTGATGCAGCCCGTCGAGTCCCGGACTTTTCCAGTTCGGGGCCCTAGGGACCGCCTCAGCTACGTCATTTGGTGTTATAATAACGGGGTCCATGGGCGTTTTACTCGCACACTGACTCGCCACAATTTCCGTCCAAGGGCCCTTGCTGTGGTTTACGGGCTCTGACCACAGGCCGCGCCAGAATACTACAGTGTCGGCCTGATTCGGTGCAGTGCCCGTTCCACTTAACATTGGTCGCTCCAATAATTCATAGAACCTCTTCTGATCACTCTGGAAGAGACGATTCTGGTTGAACCGTGTCGACCTCTCGGTATATCGCCGAATCCGCTTTCCCCAAGCAGCGATTCTCTGCTTCAGATCATCTATGCGCTCCGTCAGTTTTTGCGTTATATTCGGCTGGGACAAACTAACATTTGTCCCAGCAAACGCCATCCTGACGGTGCGCACAATCATTGGCCTGGCATTGCCTCACCTGAAGCATATCAGTCTGCCGATGAGGGCCCTAGCCTTTGCGATACGTTCTTCAATTCTTGTTCTCAAGGCTGGGATAGCACTACTTTGTCCAGTAGTGCATCACGCCGTGGAAAGTTTGGCGCCTATAATACGGCAGACTGCCAGTGCGGCGCCAAAGAGAATTGAGTCCGTCTCGCAAAGGTCCCGGCTGGCTTCAAAATATGTCACCAGCATTGGGTTCAGAGCCCTCACGATAGCCCGATTCCGCTTGCTGATGGCTATGCGGGGAAGTCGCGGTCGATTTTCGAGAGGCGTACTGCGCGTTTCCAAAATCGCCTCATCCAATGTAGTCCTCATTTGCTCCAGTTCCAGTTCCTGGGTGACTGTTCCATCTTCGTTTGAATCAACCAAAACTGGGGTATTCACGGCGGCATCCACGTTTGCCGGTTGCTCTGCAAGTTGTGGCGCCGCATCCTCAGCCATCGATGAAGGAACAGCCTTACGTCGTAGCCGTTCGAGTTCGGTGACATCAAATGTATTTGAGCGCAAGATATACTGAACTCGGTCTGCCAGGTTTTGCTCGGTGACGGTTACAGATAGCTCCAGCTCAGCAAATAGTCGATGCATCCTTGCCCGATACGCAAAACCTCCAATTTCTCCCCCCTTTCGCCCTAAAATACGCCCGCAATGCGTTGCTGTTCATTTGAGTTGTCCAACGCATGCGGCGTGCTCCACCAGTGGTGGGTGCCGATTGCTGGGCCCGCGAAGACCCAGCCGACACCAAGCCAGCTGGTGGAGATGATGGATGCGAGGGGCTGCTGGGTGGTCATGCAGCACCTCGCGCTCGTTGGCTGGCGGTTTGCATGCTGTCGCGTCCAGCTCCAGCTCCAGACGCGCCCTGGCTTCCTCCAGGAGGCCCTTTGCGATTGTAACGAAAGCCTTCCTTTTCCGAGGTTCTTGGCAAGATGCTGACTGACTGCGCTGAAGTAGCGGTTTTGTCACATAACCGCGGGCGATGGGGTCGTCACTTCCCTACGCCTATTATTATTATTATTATTATTATTTTTCTTTTTTATCTCCCGTTTTGAGGGGTAAAGAAAGATATATTCAGCGGGCTTTACACGGAGCTAAAATGATATATCTTATGTGTATAGAAGCTATAAATAAATAAAAATGTGTTCTTACTTCTTACCTATCATAGGATAAAAATTTACGCACAATCCTACAGGTATTTAAAATAACAGCTTTCTGTAATTCTACATATATTGAAGAGTGTAACTGAAGTAATTTATTATTATTGTAGGGGTATCTGTATAGTTTTCTCATCTGATTGGTTTCTATAAATATATAATTATAAATTAAAATGAAAAGATAAATATACATAAATATCAATAAAATAAAATAAATACAAAAAATACACAAATAAATAAAGATCCAACCAGATGGAAGCCCTCGGCAGAGGAGACCAAACAGCCGAGGGTTAGGAGGAAAGGGAAAGAAACCGAAGGACGATGCGGGCGGTATCGAGGACCACTGCCTTCTGCATTTGAGCCCGTGTGGAGCGGTCCGTCACGGAGTCCCAGTCGCCTCAGATGACCCGAGAGGGTGACTGGGATTAGCCCATTCACAGAGACGACTACAGGAATAATTTCGGTCGGCCGACCACCCCACATGTCGGTCACCTCGTGAGCCAGGTCCAGATATTTTGTTCGCTTTTGTTTGGCTTTCACGAGGTTCTCGTCATACGGAATGGTAGTGTCGACCAAAAATATCCGTGACTGTGCCCGGTCCATCAGCACAATATCAGGCTTATTCGCAAGAATAGTCCTGTCTGTGATGATGGCCCGGTCCTAGTAGAGCCTGGCGTGGTCATTTTCGAGCACGGGTACCGGCAAGTACTTGTAATACGGCACTTTCCGGTCCACGATACCGTATTTCAGAGCGAGCTCCTGGTGTAGAATTCTGCCTACTAGGTTGTGCCTGTGCAAGTACTCAGAGTTAGAAAGCGCCGAACAACCGGAGATAACATGCCTAAGTGACTCCCCGGGATGGCGACAAGCTCGACAGATGTCGACGGTTCCATCCTTTAGGATATATCTCCGATAGTTGTTGGTCTTAATAACCTGATCCTGTATTGCACAGACAAAACCCTCGGTTTCCCCGTAGAGATCACCGAAGCGTAGCCAGTGGAGGGAGGCTACTGTGTCTACGAAGGGCTCATGTAGAGCCTTGTAGAACCTCCCGTGGAGCTCCTTCTCCTTCCATACGGTCTCCCGGTCGGAAATGCTCTGCACTGCCGGGTCTTGCCATTGCTCGTTGGCTAAGGATAGAGCGGTAAGTCCTTTATCACAAGAAATGACGTCCTTATAGAATGGATCATCCGATCTCGCCAGGAAGTAATCACGGAGGCTGCACACTTCGCGATTATGCATGGTGAGCGCGCTCAAGAAGCCACGACCACCATGCTCCCGCGTCAAGTACAGCCTCATTACCGACGATCTCGGATGATGCATCCTATGGGACTTCATGGTAGTGCGGACTTTTCTATCCAGGGTGTTAAGTTCAGTCTGAGTCCACCTGAGTATGCCAAAGGTATACATGAGGACAGGCATGACCCAACCGTTATATGCGTGTGCCTTATTCACACCGGACAAAAGGCAGTTAAGCACTTTGGTCAAGCGTGCATAAAACACGTCGCAAACTGACTGTTTCATACCAGTCTCATCGATACCGGTGTTTTGTGACATACCCAGGTATCGGTATGTTTCAGCCTCGGAAAGGGTCCTTAAGTTGACGGGCATAGATACGTATACACCCTCAGAGTTAGCACCCCTTCCCCTTTCAACATGGAGGACCGCACACTTATCCGTCCCAAGCTCCATTCCAATGGAATTGCTAAATTCACAAGTGATGTTTAGCAATTCCATAAGATGGGAGCGACTGGAGGCGAATAACTTGAGGTCATCCATATAGAAAAGGTGGGTCACTTTTGTCCCTCCTTTCCGTAGCTGAAATCCCCTCCCAGAGCCCTCCAGTAAGGTACTGAGAGGGTTCAGAGAGAGGCAGAACCAGATTGGACTCAGACAATCGCCCTGGAAGATACCCCTTCTTATCCTTATGTGGTTCTCCGCAGCCATCATCCGCTCGCCCAGATGACAAAGGATCGTACTCCACTGCCCCATACACTGCTCGAGGAACTCTCTAACTGTACAGTCTATCTTGTACAGCTCGAGGACTCTCTTTAGCCATGTATGGGGCACCGAGTCGAATGCCTTTCTGTAGTCTATCCAGGCGGCGGAGAAGTTCCGACGGTTGCGTTTCACCACTTTGCCAATGACCGCGTCAATGAGGAGTGGTTCCTTGGTTCCACGACCACCGCCCCGACATCCATTTTGAGCGCGCGACATCACCTGATTTGAGTCCAGGTGACAAGTGATTCTCGCGCTCAAAATGGATGTTAGTGTCTTGTATATGGTTGGTTGACACGTGATGGGGCGGTATTTGCTCGGGTCTGTGGTACCCTGGTCTTTAGGAACCAAATGAGTGATCCCAGTAGTGAAGAGGCTTGGGAGCGACTTCTGGTTGAGAGCCTCTTGAAACTGTCGGGCAAGCACAGAGTGACACACCATGAACCCCTTCAGCCTGTAGTGATGCAGCCCTTCAAGCCCCGGACTTTTCCAGTTCGGGGCCCTACGGACCGCCTCAGCTACGTCATCCGGCGTTATGATGACGGGGTCCATGGGCGTAATACCCGCACACTGACTCGCCACAACTTCCGTCCAAGGGCCCTCGCTGTGGTTTACGGGCTCTGACCACAGGCCGCGCCAGAATGCTACAGTGTCGGCCTGATTCCGTGCTGGACCCGTTCCACTTACCATTGGTCGCTCCAATGATTCATAGAGCCTCTTCTGATCACTCTGGAAGAGACGATTCTGGTTGAACCGTGTCGACCTCTCGGTATATCGCCGAATCCGCTTTCCCCAAGCAGCGATTCTCTGCTTCAGATCATCTATGCGCTCCGTCAGTTTTTGCGTTATATCCGGCTGGGACAAACTGACATTTGTCCCAGCACACGCCATCCTGACGGTACGCACAATTCTTGGCCTGTTGTTGCCTGATCTGAAGCATATCAGTCTGCCGATGAGAGCTCTAGCCTTTGCGATACGTTCCTCAATTCTTCTTCTCCATGCTGGGATAGCGCTACTATGGCCAGTAGCGCGTCCAGCCGTGGAAACCTTGGCGCCTATGATACGGCAGACTGCCAGCGCGGCGCCAAAAAGAATTGAGTCCGTCTCGCAAAGGTCCCGGCTGGCTTCCAAATAGGTCACCAGCATTGGGTTCAGAGCCCTCACAACAGCCCGATTCCGCTTGCTTAGGGCTATGCGGGGGAAGTCGCGGTCGATTTTCGAGAGGCGTACTGCGCGTTTCCACAATCGCCTCTTCCAATGTACTCCTCATATGCTCTAATTCCAGTTCCTGGGCGACTGCTCCATCATCGTTTGAATCAACCACAACTGGGGTATTCACGGCGGCATCCACGTTTGCGGGTTGCTCTACCATTTGTGGCGCCGCATCCTAAGCCGTAGCATTCTCATCCGACGAGGGAACAGCCTCACGTCGTAGCCGTTCGAGTTCGGCGACATCAAATATATTTGAGCGCAAGATATACCGAACTTGGTCTGCCAGGTTTTGCTCGATGACGGTTAAAGATGGCTCCAGCTCAGCAAAAAGACGATGCATCCTACACCGATACACCAAAAATCCAGTTTCTTCCCCTATCGCCCTAAAATACGCCCGCAATGCGTTGCTGTTCATCTGGGTTGTCCAACGCATGCGGCGTACTCCACCAGAGGCGGGTGCCGATTGCTGGGCCCGCGAAGACCCAGCCGACACCAAGCCAGCTGGTGGGGATGATGGATGCGGAGGGCTGCTAGGTGACCGTGCAGCTCCTCGCGCTCGGCTGGCGGTTCGCATGCTGCCGCGTCCAGCGCCAGCTCCAGACGCGCCCTGGCGACCTCCAGGCAGCGGCCCTTTGCGCGTTCTATTTAATTCCATCATCCATTTTAGGGCGTCCTTTAGCAGGAGACGCCCAGACCCGGCGCCGTTTCTTGTTGAGGCCATGAGCACAAGCGGGCCTTTGCACCTGCAATTTTTGCCGAGGCACGGCACTAACACCTCTTGGCAAGGTGCTGACTGACTGCGCTGACGTAGCGGTTTTGTCACATAACCGTTACGTCAGCGGGCGATGGGGGTCGTCACTTCCCTACGCCTTTTTATTATTATTAATATTATTATATCAAAGATCATCCTTGCTGTTGCAGTCTTGTATATAACTGCTGCTCATTGGAAACCTAATGGTGATAATCAGTTTATGAGATTTTCTGTCGAGAAATTCTCAATAGCAGCCCGGAGTCAGAAAATTAGCGGTGTTTCACCCCCTCGTGTCTCGGAACGCACTTAAAGCCGTTGGTACTCACCTCACCGGTCATATCGGTTTTTCATCCCGTTGGACTATGAGAATGAGGAAATACGGAGTGCACCTGTGCTTGTGTATAAACTTTTACACTGTGTAATCCTGTCCTGCGCTGATGACTAGACTCCGTTGAGACTAGCCTCCGTGATCGAAATTCGGTCTGGAGTACATTATTATTTTTATTATATAAATATTGTGGACTACAACCACGGACGAAAAAAGACTTTACTCACTGAACTATACCACTGTTCATAAATAAGTTTATACACATAGGCTACACAGAATAAACAAACTGACACATTGTAGTCGGAGCAATCAATCATTAACATTCAAATCGTATGCTAAACAAATATTTATCTACAGTTTAACGGCACTATTATAAATTAAATCAGTTAGTTTAACAATTAAGTAATGTGTTGAGAATGTATTTAAATACCCGCTGTGTAGAGGCAGTATAATTATTTCGACTTAATTTGAAAAATACATAGCGCTCCGTCTATCTTCTTTGTAGCTCTGTGGTGACGGGTTAGTGAGATTTATGTAGGAAATCGATAAATGCAATAACTAAAGATTGTGCTTTCATTTTGGTACATAATAGAGTTACGCTGTAGCTTTTCATTGCACGAATGGGTCTGCTTGGCAGGGGAAGGACCATGTTCGCACAGAATACGAACATAAAATAGTAGTATTATCATTATCATCTGCCTACGACTGTCTACTTGTGATCACAGGCCTCTCCCAAGGTCACTTAGGCCGGTCTTCGGACACTTTGCGCAGATCGAAGCTTTATTTACTCAGATAAGTGAGTCGTCTAGCATAAAGCTGCTGTATTAAGTTTACTTACGCTGAGCAAAATTAAAGATTTTCAAAACTGATATTTGAAGTAATGATTTTTTTCTTACGCGAACATTACACATTTGAATATAACTAAGTTTTACGGATTTTATCGCGAATATTAACCTAATTTAAATCCTTGCCTTTTCTAGTGCATTACAGCAAACTCGGTCAAAGGGGGCTAAGGTGTTCGAAGTTCCAATATCATAGTCAACCACGGCTTTTTTTTGATCCGTCTCAACATCTCAATTATATGACCATGGGTGTTGTAAATTACTCGAAACACCGGGAATTTAAAATAAGTTAATATACGCGATAAAATCCATCCATTTCAAATTTTCGAATTAACATTATATAATAACTGGATTGCCCCCATTACTTCGAACTTATTTCGTGCAAATTGAATACTCTGTCGCATAAGTCTGGTGACAACTGCTTGATAGTCACGTTTATTGTAATGTGCCAGGATTATATAAAGTGACGAAGGTGCGACGTCTGAGCTTGAAACTTATCGTCATTGGGCCGGAAAAGGACTTTAAGCTAGGGTGAGCATGATTACGGATCAGGCGGGATAATCAAGCTGTAAGTTTTTGTATCAAAAATTTAATTCGGAGCTTAAAGGTATAGGAGGTTTAAGATAGAATATTCAATCTTTTTATTTCAAGGGATCAATCTTGACGGAAACTAGCCATCTGCGCAGAAAGTTTATCGTTCAGGAGTGTATGCTTAAGCATGGATACACTCTCTATTAAATAATATATATAATTAACTATATACTCTCGTAGTCTGATGGGGCAACAACGCGACACGAACAGAGATAGATCAGGCGCAGGACCACCACCAACTTCCTGACTCCAGGTTTATAAGTACGGACTAACAAGTATTTCTTGACAGAAAATCCTGGCTGAAATAAAATGAAATAAATAATTTTATTCAATCTTCAATATAGATTACATTATCATACCAGTTCATACCTCTGCCCTGGGAAGAACCGACAAGAAATCCAGCGGGTCTTTTCTTTTATACATATTTTACATATTTTGTCTTTACAATATTTTTATTTGTACAATTTTTAAATGAATTTTAATAGAACCAGCCGTCATTCTTCATGATCGTCATTCACCTCATTTCTATAAGTTATTTTCAATTATATACTTTGATATTATAGTAACCCCTTGTGTACATTTTTTATAATAAAACTTTTAAACTTGTTTATTGACAAAATTTCTGCATTTTTTGGGATTTTGGTTGTAAAAGCGTATACATTGCCCCATAAAAGAACTACTAATTCTGTGGTTTCTAGTAACTAGTGTTACAAGTTTATGTTCTTTCCTAGTGTTTAAAGTATGAACATCTTTATTTTTATCAAACCTATTTCTGTTTTTATGTATGTGCATACATCACATTTTCATAAATTTACTGCGATGTCAAAGTTAGTGTGCTTATTTCTTTGAAATTTTCTCGAAGAGAATCTTTACACTTACAGTTATAAATTGCCCGTACGGCTCTCTTTTGCAAAACAAATATGGCTTCAATGTCAGCCGCATTACTCCATAGCAAAATTCTATAAGCTGTCTTAACATCGGTGAGACTTCTAATCTTTCTACAGTATATGCTACATAACTAAGTCAACCTGCTAATTTGGATATATGGGGTCTCCATTGAAGCTTTGCGTCAATAGTAATACCAAGAAAAATAGTGGTATCCATAAGACCCAACTTCTCCCTATTTACGAGCACATTGTGGTTTAACCCGGAAATCTAACTTGTAACCACTTGATCAACGAAGTAGTCCTTTATAACTACGTCGAGAATAAGAGAAGACTTTCATCTAGCATTAGAACTTACTTATGGATAAGTTAGTTAGAGGTTTACTTTTTACTTTATTCCTAAAGCTTACATTCCTACCAGGGTTACATAATCGTACGGCAGATCGCTAAAACTATGTTATTTTCTGTGTTAGCAGATACACATATGATAATACAATACCTTGTCGCTGGTGTCGAAATCGACCCGGAGGGTCCAACATTCCGATTACAGAATGACTCAAACCAAATGGAATCCTTTACGTGGTAGAATCATGCTACAGCTATATTATGGTTGTAGCACGAATGTTTCGACTCGAACGGGGAAGGATCACGCTCTTACAGAATACTAGCGCGAATGCCCTAAACGAAGCATTCAATTTTAGTCCTTAGAGGTAACAACGCGTTCTGTATATTAATTTATGAGGATAAATGTCTGTGAGCCACAGCATTCAAATGCCATCAGGTGTTTGTGTGTCACACTTATTCTATAAAAACGATCTAAGACGGACCATAATAAAACATCGAATGGTCACCTTAATCCGTTTAAATTACACATCAATCCAACCGGTTCACGTTAGAACAATTAACGCGTTTATTTCACCGGCTTCGTATAATAGTTTCCGTTAAGACAGTATCATTTGAAACGAATGCGCAAAGTTTAAGCGTCTTCAATACGATCGTTTTATTCAATCGTTTTCGTGATTCCGATTAAAAACTGTTTTTTCTTTTAAATATAGTTTATTGTATTAACTTCTTACTTTAGTTATATATCATACGCGGTAGAGCCACGCTGCAGCTATATTATGGCTATAGCACGAATCGATCGGCTCGACCGGGAAGGGACCACGCTCTCACAGAATGCCAGAGTAAAAATGTAGCTATATACTGTTGTTTTTCGTACGGTACATGAAGAGATCTGGAGACCTTATTTTAGTGGAAACAAGGCATTCCATCTTGGTTCTTAGGGGTGAAAAGGAATCTGCGTTTTGATTCTTCATCATCATCATCATCATCACAGCCCTTCACAAGTCCACTGCTGAACATAGGCCTCCCCCAAGTAATGCCACAAAGCACGGTCCTGAGCCACCTGCATCCATCGACTTCCTGCTTATGTTACCAGGTCTTCACTTCATCTAGTGTGGGGTCGCCCTACACTACGCCTACCGGTACGAGGCTGCCACTCGAGAACCTTTCTTCCCCATCGGTTATCGGTTCTTCGA